CGCTCCCGCTGAGGGTTCGGATCCCACATACAGACCGGTTCCCGCTCACTGGCTGAGCGAGGTGCGGGCGCGACACTGAGGGTTGCGATCCCGTTGCTGGTCCTGGTCCGGTATGGGCGCAACACTGAGGGTTATGATCCCTTGCCGGTCCCGGTCTGGTACGGGCGCGACACTGAGGGTTGTGATCCTGTTGCCGGTCCCGGTCCAGTACGGGCGCGACACTGAGGGTTGCGATCCGGTGCCGGGCACGAAAAAAGACAAAAAGGAAAAAATAAAAAATACAAAAAAGAAGAAAGACTTCAAATAAACAACTTAACATTACACCTCAAGGAACTAGAAAAATGAGAACAAACCAAAGCCCAAATCAGTAGGACAGAAGAAACAAATAGCAGAGCAGAAATAAATGAATTAGAGATTTAAAAAACCATGTAATGGATCGGTGAAGCAGAGTTGGTTTTTCAGAAAGGTAAAATTGATGAATCTTTAGCTAGAAATGAAGAAGAAAAAGAGAGAAGACCCAAATAAATAAAATCAGAAATGAAAAAGGAGACATTACAACTGATACCTTGGAAATACAAAGGATTATGAGACTACTATGTACAACTATATGTGAACAAACTGGAAAACTTAGAAGAAATGGATAAATTCCTGGACACATACAGCTTATGAAGGTTGAATCATGAACTAGAAAATCTCAACAGACCAATAACAAGTACTGAAATTGAAGCAGTAATAAAGAGTCTCCCAACAAAAGAAACCCCAGGACCAGATGGCCTCACTGCTGAATTCTGCCAGACTTCTAAAGAACTAATACCAGTTCTTCTCAAACTCTTCCAAAAAGTTGAATATGAGGAAATACTACCAAACTCATTCTATGAGGCCAACCAACGTCAACCTCATACCAAAACTGGGGGAGGTGGAAGGAAACTACAGACCAGTATCCATAATGAACACAGATGCAAAGATCCTCAACAAAATACTAGCAAATAGAATCCATGAAACATGAAAAAGGTCATTCACCATGATTAAGTAGAATTCATCCCGGGGTGCAAAGATGGTTCAGCATACACAAATCCATAAACGTGTTACATCACGCCAGCAGAATGAAGGGAAAAACCATATCATCATTTCAATAGATGCAGAAAAAGCATTTGATAAAATCCAACACCCCTTCATGATAAAAACACTGAACAAATTAGGTATAGAAAGAATATACCTGAACACAATAAAGGCTGTATATGACAAACCCACAGCCAGTATCAAGCTGAATGGACACAAATTAGAGGCTTTTCCTGTAATATCTGGAACAAGACAAAGATACCCACTTTCCCCAACCTGATTCAACATAGTACTAGAAATTGTAGTGGTATATAAACACATCGGAATACTATTCAGCTATAAAAAAAAATGAAATCCTGTCACTTGCAGCAACATGGGTGGAGATGGAAACCATCATGTTAAGTAAAGTGAGTCAGGCACAGAAAGACAAATACCGCGTGATCTCACTCTTATCTGTAATCCAAAGAAAAAAAAAGTTCTCATAGAAATAGAAGGTAGAATAATGGTTACCCGAGGCTGGGAAGGGAGAGGGTTAGGGGTGAGGCAAAGTGGTAGACTACTGTGTACAAAATTATGCTATCTACGCTAAGTGAATCATTGTGCAGTATGTTCATGTGTTGAAACAACACACTGTACCCCACAGATATGTGCAAGTAAATGTTAAAATTTAAAAAATAAATGAATAAGGAGATCCTTCAGACTTTGAATTCAAATAAAAGTCAACCAAGTAGAAGTGCCTGGTACATGTGTAGCACATTGTAGATCCTCAATAAAATGTTTTCTACTATTATAAGAATAAATGGTAATATTTCTCCTTAGGTCATTTAGTCTAAGCATTTTAAACACATTTAATTTCTGTCAGAAATGCAAAGCAAACATTTTACTATAAAAACAGCAAAAAAAAGATTAGTTTTGTCCAGTGATTACCTAGTACAGTGTATGGGGCAGGAGTGTTTTATAGTTTCTTAACTATAAGCTGGTGGTGATCCTAAGATTTCACAGTTTAAACAGAAGTCAGTCAGTAGGAGGTGTTTTCATTTTGAGGCTTAGTCTTTGAGTTCCTGACAAATACTTCAAGTCTACATGTCAGAAAAAATATCTTTTTTAGGAAACATCAAACCTAACATGTGCCTAGAAATAGGTTGTGAGGGGCTATTTCTGAAAAATATTGAAGAGGAAACCAGCCAGTTGAAATACAGTTAAGTCCCTGAAATAATGTACCCTACAGACATGCAGTTTGCATGTACTGTGACTGGCAATTCCTCCTACCCTCTGCCAGCCCCTGATCTCAAACAAGGAGGCAGGCCGAAGTTCTCAGCTGGTGCAGAGGAGGGGGATGGTAGGAGATGCCTGCCTGGTTATCACTTGAGATTTTTTCTGTTCTGCATACAATCAGGTGTGTGAGTAAAGTTTTGCTTTCTTTACTTTCATCCTTTTCATGGCAATACAGAGTGAAAAATACTGTTTTTTATTAACCTCGAATGCCACGTTACATTTTATTTGAATGAATTTTATGGACCCTACTTACAGTGGAGTTTTACTGTATTTTTACTTACTCATTGAATAAAACTGGTTCACAGACGTCTTCTTCCACTTATTGCCCGTTAACATCAAATTATAGAAAAATAAAAGTAATTGATAATTTCAGTGGCTAAGCATATGATTTTGTTTTGTTTTTAGAGAATGTGTAACCAGTGCTCTGTGTATCCCATTAGCAAGCCAGAAGAGGTAAGGATAAATAATTTATCTGTTTTCTTTGCATTGACTTTAAGAGTTATTAAGATCATGTGTTTTGTTTGTAACAGGAGTTCCACTGGACGTCCTGACTGGACCTGCATTGTGGTGGGTTTTACTTCAGGTTATGTACGCTTCTACACTGAGGTAAGTTGAGTTTTCAGCAGTTGGAAACACTAGTTGACTGCAGTACCTGTTATGCTCCTCCCCCCCACCCTCCCATTATAATAGTTTGTAACTTCATTACCTGCTGCTTGGAAACGTGTAGTAGATGCTTTATAAGGGTGGAGGCCAGGACAGGCGTGAAAAGTTCTGATAGAAGATATAGAGAAATGAAGCTGTTTTCTTCTGAAAGGAGATTACCTGGAGGGCTGGCTGGTTAGCTCAGTTGGTTAGAATGTGGTTTTATAACACCAAAGTCAAAGGTCAAGGGTTCAGATCCCTGTACTAGCCAGCTGCCAAAAAACTTAAACAAGCAAGCAAATAAATAAATAGAATGCCTGTTGTCTGTGGAAAACTGCTTTAAAAGTGTACTTAGTCTCTGCGTGGCCGTGCCTGTTCAGGTGTATTGATAAGAAAACCAGCAGGACCCTCTCTGTGCTTCCTCCTAGAGTGGTGTGCTCTTGCTTGCACAGCTGTTGAATGAGGACCCAGTGCTGCAGCTCAAATGCAGGACCTACGAAATCCCCCGGCATCCTGGCGTGACCGAGCAGGTGCTATAAAAGATTATATTTGAAGTAACAGTGGCATTGCTTTAAGGCAGTTTCTCCTCTCTTTACTGGGTAGAAACTTAAAGATAAGTTTGTTTTATGGCACAGTTAGCTGTACTGTCATATTCTAGGAATATGGAGCAGGTGCTATAAAAGATTATATTTGAAGTAACAGTGGCATTGCTTTAAGGCAGTTTCTCCTCTCTTTACTGGGTGGAAACTTAAAGATAAGTTTGTTTTATGGCACAGTTAGCTGTACTGTCATATTCTAGGAATATAATCTACTTGTAGCTGACTGATGAACTCCAGTCTTGCTTTTACTTACTTAATGAAATATTTGATTCATTCTACAATAAAATAAAGTACTTTAGTTAAAAGACAAAAAAAGTGTCTTATATTTAGAATTTAATGGTGACTTAAGGCAAAAATGTAGTATTATATAACTTGATGTCTTTTTAATTTGGATTTAGGTATCAAAATTACCCATACTAAAAGAAAAAGTTTAGGCCTTATTGTTAATAGGACTACTACTTTGAACTTAATTTCTCAGAAAAAGGACTATTGTTTATAGTGGAGAATATTTTAAATTCATTGACAGTTTTGACTGAGAAAATAATACTGTTGAGTATCTAAGGCTTTCACTTCTTTGTATATGCCCTGTAAGATTTTGGTTGCCTCATAATCAAAAAATAATTGTAGAGCCACTTAAAGCAATATGCTTTTATTTTGTGTGAATGTACAGAGTCAAAACTATATAATATGCCTTCCTTTTTTGCACTACTTGGCTTCCAAAAGATTTCAAGTAAACAGTTGTATGTGTGATATGTGCATGTAGACTTAATTGCACGATAGATGGACTAGAGCTATAGAAGAAACTTAATCTAGTGAGAGATTAGACTAATACCTATTAGTAACTATGAATGAATTAATCAGTAACATAAAGAAATACCTAGTTAACTGCTAATTTACATGAAAGAGTAAATTCTGTACACGTTTAGTGAAGGGGGAGCTCAATGAGAAGTAGGACAGTAAGAGAGACTTTGATTGAGGAGGTGAGATTTGAATTAAGCCTTGACTGATGGGTCTGGAAGTTAATTAGGTAGGACTATGTATGTGACAACAAAGAAACCTATGTTATAACATAATAACTGATGAGTATGTAGAGTGGCCAAATTTTTCATAAATTTGAAGACCAAGTAAAAATAAATTGATTCAGGAGATGAGAGAAGCTCCTAAAAATTTATGAGAAGGAAGTGATATAATCAAATGGATATTGAAGGACTCTTTGAATTGGAGTTGTGAGAGATTGGAATGAGAGACGCTAGTTGTCTGTTTTTTTAAGTTATCTGTAATAGCTGTGGAGTGTTGGGAACCAGGACCAGAATGGCTGTGGGAGGAAAGAAAAGAACAGTACAAAAATCAATTTGAAGGAACAAGACTTGGTAATTGTCTAGAGTCATAGAATACAAAAAAGAGAAGTGAGTCAAACGTCTCTAAGATATTCATCCTAGGGAGCGCCATTGGCAGATTTGGAAGAGGGGACTGTGTTGACAGTAAAGAAAGGTTACTGAATGTGGTTTTTGGACATGCTGGGTGTGAGACAATGGTAGGAAATAAAATGAAGATGCCAGACACACAAGCTTTCTGCCTTCACGGAGTTTACAGTTTGGGGATGGAGGGAAACCAACAGTAAATAAATAGACATATCAAGGTGATTCTAGTCTCTGGTAGGTGCTACGAAGGGTGTCAATGTGTTGATGAGATAGTTATATGGCAAGAGAATGGGGGTACTGTTTGAGATCGAGGCTCAGTAGCAGCGTCTTTGAGTAATTAACATTTGAGCAGAGACCTGAATGATCAGAAGAATTAGGCAGGTGAACATATGAAAGGAGAAGGTCTATGCACATGCGAAGGACTGAGGTGATGATGACCTCCCTGTTCAAGGACAGAAAGATATGAGATGACATCAGATATATGTGCCAGGTCTTACAGCCATGAAAGAGTTCATGTTTTATTCTAGACACAAAGGGAAGCCATTGGAGAGTTTTAATCAGGAGATTAAGACTGTGCTGGCTGTGTGGAGCATGGACTGTAGAGAGCAAGAGTGGAAGCAGGAAGCCAAACTGAAAGTCCATCAATGGGAATTGGTTGAATTTGGTTACATATAATGGAATACTGTACAGCCACAACAAAAAATGATTTCTTTACTTATTGAAGTGAAAAAATGTCCTTGACATACTGAGTAATAAAAAACATGTTATAGAATACTATATATGGTATAGTTTATGCAAATGTGTATGAATTTATTTGACGATGTTCATTGAGACATGTCTGGGATTTCAGGTGAGTTGTTTTCTTCTTTCTGTTTTTATATATTGTTTGTGTCTGATCAATGACTATATTTAGTTTTTATGAAATTGTAAAAATTTTTTGTTGCTCTCACTATCTATCCTGAGACCGTTATTTAACATACACAAAATCTCATATTTGAGAGCAATTTTAAGTCTTTGGCCAAAAGGCATTCTAAAGTTAATTTTTCACGTAGTTTCGCTGATCCTCTGCCTGACATTGCTTTGTGTGTTGGGTCATTGACAATTTAGTCATAGTGTTTTTTTATTTTACATTATTCATGAAATCCAGGTAAAATAAATAGATATGCTTATTTGGTGTATCTGCCTAAGAAAATGTATTATTTTCTTGTTTCTTACTTCTTAAATAGAATGAAGAGTTGAGTATCTTATATCCAGCTGCCATTGTGACTATTGATGGATTTAGCCTTTTTCAGTCTCTTCGTGCTTGTCGAAATCAAGTAGCAAAAGGTAATTTGGGGGCAAGAAATATTTAACTTACGATTTTTTTTTTTAAAATTTTTTTTTTTAATGTGACCTACTTACAGAATTAAGTATGTCTTCTAAACAAAAAAGAAAAAAAAATTTTTTTTTTTAATGTGACCTACTTACAGAATTAAGTATGTCTTCTAAACAAAAAAGACCTTCCGAACTAGATTTAGGGAAACAACTTTGCTTCTGTGGACATGGGAGAGCATGGTTGGGTAGATTACTTTAGTAAGGTATCGGCAAGAGCTGAAACATCAAGGCTCTTCACATGTTGCCTGGGACCTTCCGAACTAGATTTAGGGAAACAACTTTGCTTCTGTGGACATGGGAGAGCATGGTTGGGTAGATTACTTTAGTAAGGTATCGGCAAGAGCTGAAACATCAAGGCTCTTCACATGTTGCCTGGGGACAGTGACCAGCACAGGATCAATAGGCTTTCTTCACTGATTCAGCATATGTCTTGGCCCATTAAAGAGATTTGCAGTTGTATTGACAGTCAACATTGGTGTGAGGAATTCAGTTGCATTTAGCCGAGATACCAGTTCTTACTAGGTTAGCAGTTGTAGGGCCAGTGTACTAAAATCTCATGACAATACATTGCTTCTGTCCTCACTGAAGATAAAGATACAGCTGTGTGCAGGGGGAATTTTCCCTACCGTAGGCAGGATCCAGCAGAGAGTTAACATCATCTTGTTTTTGCTTAACTTGGAATAGTTTTGAGTGGAGAAATATAGAGATCTAAACTTAATGTATATGTGGGCAACTACATTATTTCCAGACTTAGGGATGAAAACTGTACAAATAATCAAGAATCCTTACTTTATTACCTGTAGTTTATATTCCGATGCTATTGTATCTTTGGAAGACAATGTCATATTTCACTGAATTCAACATGCCATTAATTGTAAGATACACTATTATTTTACATACCACTAAGAAGAAAAAACGTTGCCAGCAAAAGACACACCATTGATTTTAAGATCCCAATTTTAGATGTGTTAAAATATGAGAAAGAAAAGTCTTAAAGTCAGTGAAAATGCCATAGTAGCACTGACTTCCCCTTGTTTTCTTGGATTGGGTGGTGAGTTTGGATTGGGTAGGTGAGTTTTAGTGACCCTAAAGCAAACAAAGTTCAACTTCTAAGTGGTTGAGATCATTTCCTGAAAACATGGGTTAATTAAGATAAGTTTGTTGCTTCATAAAAATTGTTTCTAAATCCAAACCGAACATTAAGATGCAAAATAAGCAGTTTCTTTTGGGGGGAAAATGTAGTATCTTCTATTGCAATGGAAAATTTTTCTGTTTTTTAGGTTATGTAATTGGTAAAATTCTGAAGTCTTGGTTATGTGCTTCTTTTGTAATACCTACTTTTTATTAGATCAGAATATTTTTGAATTTTTATACCTGTTTTTATAATCTTTTAAATTATTTAAACTTAACCCATCATAAGCTTCATTTTCTTGAGAAGATTTAAAATAGTCACCATTAATATATATATATCCGAAGAGACTGGCGATTTTATGTAGGTAAGAATTCTATTAATAAAATAGAAATATATAATTATGTTATAATTGGTATTGCCAGCCATTTAGTTTTCAACACTTTTTAATTCCTGTTTAAAGCCATTTTAGCCATTGTACCATAAAACCATTTTGTCTCCTGGTGTAAGGAATTAAGCCACTTAGTGCCCTCTTATTATGAGTTGTTCTAAAAAGAATTCTGGTTACTTAGCCAGAAATTGTGGTAACATTTATTTCAGCATATGGGAAAATTCACTTTTCCTGGCCTTACTATCAAATCTGTAATATTTAGAGGACTATATATTTCCTTTATTAAAGTACTTTTCTTAGCTTTGCAGAATAAATAGCCAGAATTCAGCAGTATTCTAATATGTAGTATGGGAATTATCGAAAAATGGGAGTTTGTGCATGAATCTGTGGCAAGAGATGTAACTGTTGCTTTTCCTCTTATTACACACTAAGGTGGAGGGACTCAAGTTGAAGATTGGCATTTCATTAATTTTCCTGGAAATGCTATTGCTGTTAGCATATGTTTCTATCAAGTCTGGCCTCAGTTACCTAGGTTAGAGATCTTGCTGTATGTGTGCTCTACCAGGTATATCATGTTTTTACTTTTCCACTGAGTGAAGCACTGATTGCTGTTCCCAGGATTTTACCCATTTTTTTCAAGAGGTTGAAATTGCTTACTTGGCATCAGTTGCAGTTTGAATTCAACTTGATTTGGAGTTGTATTGTAGGATTTTTAGTAGTCTTCTCTAATCACTTGAGTGTCAGAATTTCTTGTGACAGCCAACTTAGTCTTTTATTTATTTATTTTTAATTTATTTTTTATTGAATCATAATTGATTATATATATTTTGGGGGTTCAATGTTGATGTATATTGATCATATCAATATTATTAGCATATACAATATTACAAGTCATAATTATTCTTTATGCCCCTTATCCAGTCTCTCCCCATTCCCTTCTCCCTCCCACCTCTGATAACTCTTGATTTCTTCTCTCCTTCTGAAAGAGTAACAGTTACTCTATTGATTTGTTGCCTAGATGATCTGTCCAGTGCTGAGAGAGGTGTGTTTGACTATTATCGTAGAGCAGATGCTTCTATCTCTCTGGAATGGGCTTTGTGGAGAGAGGCATCCTCTTCTTTTCTTTGGTCTCCGCTAGTGACTCCCTTTGTGTCAATGCATTTGAGTGGCCGGTGGGCCATCTGCACAGTGGTTGTTGCCTCTAGCTGCTTTTGCGTCAGCCGTGGGTATTGTGGTGGCTGTGGTCACATGGAAGTGATGTTTTTGGCGTGCTTCTTGCCTGGTTGTGGGAGGAGGGGTCAGTCCCCGGCTCCATCTGTTTTTATGTTCTAAGATGTTGCAGGTCAGTTGGGTGGGAGGGAGAGAGGGGAAGGGGGAAGGAAATAGGGTGGGAGAAGGAAGAGGGAGGGAGGGCATGGTTGAGGCCAGTAGCACCCCACTCAGTCCTGCAGGGGAGACCAGGGGGCTTCCAGTGGAGGCTTTGTCATTGCTGGGCTGAATGCAGATGTCAGGGGGGTGTGGCTGAAGCCCTTGGCCCCCCAGTGCCCTGGCTCACGAGCCTGGGATGTTTCCTGCAGCAGCTCAGTGGTCATTGTTGGGCTGGTTGCAGGTGTCAAGGGGCATGGTTGAGGCCCCCAGCCCTCCCTGGCTTGGGGACTGAGGGTGCTTCTGGTCCTTCTAGGTTTTATAGGTGTTCGTTGGTGAAGTGAGACCTTTACTAGTTAATATCAAACTTTGTCTCTGGTCTGTGGGTACTTTGTTTTTTCTTTCAGTTCTGCATTGGATTATTCACTGTTTCCACCACTTAAACTCTGCACTGGAACTAGTTTATTGTCCTTTGCTTACTTCTAAAATAGGGGAACTTCCTGTGGGGACCAGCACTTGAGCCCTGTGGTTGAGCTAAATTGCTTCTTTGCTGTTGACACCCTGGGGAAAGCTTTTTGTGCAGCTCAGGTTTTAATGGTTGACTTTGTAGGTAATTCCCAGTCTTGTGAGATCCACTACACCTGTGTTGTATATAAACTGTGGTCTGGACCTGAGTCTTTTCAGCAAACTGCTCCCCCTGCAGTTCTATATTCCTAACCAGTCTCCACTGAGTGGTCCTGTGCTGATTGGGGACAGATCAGCTGTCCATGCTATGCCCCAGTGGTCTCCTAGTGGACCCGTCTCCTCCACCACCCTCACTCCAAACACTTCCATAGAATGGGCCGTGTGCTAGTCCCTTGCAATGATTCTCCAGCCTCTGAGTGGCTCCTTCTTTCATCTGTTGTGGCTTCTCCTGTGGTTGTCCATGGGAACCCTGTTAGTGGTCTTGCTGGTCTGAGGGCCACCAAGGCCCTCTTCTCCCCTGCTGCCTCCAAGCAACTTCATCTGAAGGGCACAGCTGCGGCTTTTGTCAGCTCTTGCTTCGTGTGCTCACCAGCTCCAGACTTGAAGCAGCTGGGGCTTGAAATGGTGGGAGTGATCCTTTCTTTTTCTCATCGTGGCTTCTCCTGCCTTCATGCACTCTGTAGATCTCTCCTCCTCTTCCCCTGAGCTCTAGCGGCCCCAGCTTGGCTGTCATTGCTTTTTAATAGTTGTAAATTGATTGATTTGTGGGAGAGAGTGACGCTGCAGACTGTCTGTTCCACCGTCTTGACTGGAAGCCTCTCAACTTGGTCTTTTTTTAAATGTTTGCATTTTATGTGCATTGTCCTGGCATGAATAATTCTTACTTTATGCCTTGTTTTTATTACTTTGCTTCATTATTAATAGTTGACGTTTTTGAATAATGAATTATACTTTTAATGATTTTTTTTAAAACTTCAATTTATCCATTATAATTGTTTGGATTATCGAATTTTTATGTTTGACAGCTGCAGCATCAGGCAATGAGAACATACAACCACCACCATTAGCTTATAAGAAATGGGGTCTACAGGATATTGACACTATTATTGATCATACCAGTGTTGGTAAGCATTTTATAGTTCATATTCTTTTGAAATTTACTTCTTATACTTTTTGATTGAAGTATCTCATTTATTAGAAGTTGACATTTAATGTGAAAAAATACATTGCCTTTAATAAGACATTTGGAAGTTAGTTTAGACTCAGATCATCATAAGCTTTGTCTTTAAGAAGTGGAAGAAGTTTTAATAAAGGTTTAATTATGCCCTCAGCAGCAGTATTTTTCAGTTTTAAGTCACTCATTATTTGACTTAATTTTTCTGTGGACAAGTTTGGTTCGTAATAAATCAGTCTTTTAAAAATACAACCTTTAAACCAGCAGAATATAGATAAAAACAAATTTCTTCCTACAACCAGTAATTGAGGGCTTACTGTATTAGGCATCAAGAGTATAGATGAATAGACATGGTCTGTATTGTCCAGTACTGTGAGTCTAGTTGAAAGAAACACACAAGAATGGTTACAGTACTGCAATGTAATGATTATTGTTATGTTGTAGTAGACAAGTGGATTGAGTGTAATGGGAGTAGAGGAGAAAGCCCCTCGCATTGAGGGCAACAGGGAAGAGGAGCTTGGCTTTAATCTGAGATTGAAAGAATGAGTAGGAGTCGACCAGGAGAATAAGCACAGAGGATAGATTCTAGCCAATATGAACATAGAGGTGGGGGTGAAAGAATGTAGTGTGCTGGAGAAACAGCAAGCGCCAGGGATAGCTGCACAAGTGAGGCCAAGTATGTACACAGGAGTCAGATTCTGAAGGGCCTAGTACACTAAGCAGAGGAGGATCTAAATGTTTTCATTCTGATCTTTCTCCTGCCTGCATCGAGAGCCACTGAGGAATTCTGAGCAAAGGAGTAACACCACTTTTGCCTGTTTCAAAAGTCACTGTGGTGGCAGTTGAGAGGCTGGAATGGAGGGGTCAGGACTAGAAAGCTATAATAATTTTGTTAAGAAGTAATGGACTTCTGAATTAAGGTAGTAGAAATGTGGGTGAAGAAGGAAATATTATTTTAAAGTCTATATGTATTTTTTTCTGCTTATCAATATACTATATGCTTGTTAAAAAATTCAAGTAGTATGTAAATACATAAAGAGAAAAGGGAAAAAAAAACCTTAAACCCTACTATCCAGAGATATTCACCACTGGCATTTTAGTAAACATTCTTACAGACTTTCTGATGTATGTATGTGTGTAAGTGCTTGTATAATATGCATATGGTCATGCAGAGATGTTTTCATAAATGAGATTATATCATACCAACTATATCATAGTCCTTTTTCAATCAGTATATCATGAAGAGCCTTTCCCGTCAATTTTGCTAAATATACGTTTTATCAGTCAGAGTCCTAATACAAGATAGATGTTACACTTGAAATAGGATAATTAAAGAAAGTTTATTTACAGAGAAACAGTTTATAAAGATGTGGTATAGGAGAACCACAAGGGATACTATCATATCCCAGGGCTTTTTAGCAGCCAAGCTGTTAACCACTCGAGGCCTAAAGAGATGAGGGCAGGGAGCAGTTCCAGAACTTGGAGACAATGAGTGGAACCAGCAGCTGGAGAGCATGATGACTTTTGTTCAAGGGACACAGCCAGCTTTTTCAGGGAGGGAACCAGAGAAATAAATATCCTGACTTTATTCTCCTTTCTCTCTTTGAACTCCTGATGGAGTTTCCATTGTCTTAACCCAATTATAAGTCAGCATGATCTGTGCAAGCTGGCCCCGTGGAGAGAGAGCAGGGAGAAAAGGAGGGAGCATCAGTCTAGAGGGGTTAACAGAAGGCATTTGACACACAGGTCAAATACCTGTCTTTTTCTGTTCACTGCCTAGTTCTTATATGGAATATTCTGTAATAAAAACCTTTCTGGTAAACATTTCAGTGTGTCTTTACTTTTTTGCTAACATAAAAATTCTGCTGTATTCCAAAGTGTTGAGTTCAGTTCAGGGTAACTTCTCTGCTCTGTTAATTAAACTTTGGAACATTGAAACTGGCTAGGGAAAATGATTGGATAGAAAATATTACTCTATTCATTTATTCCCCAGCCTACAAACTGAAAAAACAAAAAATGCAATAAACTTTATTGTGTGTAAAGGTCTGATTAATTCATTCAAGAAATAAATGAGAGGGGCCGGCCCGGTGGCGCACTGCTACAGTGCACCGCTTGGGAGCGCGGTGGCGCTCCCGCCGAGGGTTCGGATCCCACATACAGACCGGTTCCCGCTCACTGGCTGAGCGAGGTGCGGGCGCAACACCGAGGGTTGAGATCCCGTTGCCGGTCCCGGTCCGGGCACGACACTGAGGGTTGCGATCTGTTGCCGGACACGAAAAAAGACAAAAAGGAAAAAATAAATAAATAAATAAATAAATGAGTACATGTTATATCCCAGGGACCAATATTGATGCTAGAAATACAGGACAGGACTTCTGCCCTCATGAAGCTTATATTCTGGTAATGGGGAGACAAAAAATAAACAAACTAAATGAATAAATATGGTAATATCAAAATGCTGTAGGCAACTTGAAGAAAATAAGCAGAAGGTTATGATAGAGAGTAAAGGAAGAGGGTACTTAGGTAGCTGGTGAGGAAAGGCCTCTCCAGGGTGGCATTCAGACTGAGACTTGAAAGGTGAAGAGCTAGCGATGGAAAGAGCTATAGGAAGAACATTCTAGGCAGATGAAGCAGCAAGGACATAGACTTGGGGTCTTGAAGACTCAGAGTGTTCAAGAAACAGGAAGGAGGTTGGTGTGACTTGATTGTAAGAGTGAGGGAAAGTGGGGCAAAGTTGAGCTACAGGTGTGGATGGAGGTCAGACCGCATAGGGTAAGGAGGTCGGAGTTTATTCGAAAGGCAGTGGGTGTTGATGGATTCCAAGTGGGGGGTACATTTAAAAATGTCCCTCTGGCTGTTGTTTAGAGAGAGCCTTGTTGATTTTGTAGCTTTTAAAAAAATGACTTTTGTCAGTTAGGTAAACTAAGTAGTTAGAATCTTAGAATGGAACTGAAGTAAAAATTTAATGATCTGAAATGACTATGTCCTGTCAATGCATTCAAATCGTGTGAGTTTTTTTGTTTTTTTTTTTAATCATTAGGTATTATGACTCTGTCCCCTTTTGATCAAATGAAGACTGCTTCCAATATAGGTGGATTTAATGCTGCAATTAAAAACAGTCCTCCTGCCATGTCTCAGTATATCACAGTAGGATCCAATCCATTCACTGGCTTCTTCTATGCTTTAGAGGTATGAGTTCATCACTGATGATGAGTGAGGCCACTCTCGATTTTTCAACTTGTCTACAAATTGAATGTGGTAACAGCCTTAGAAAGATTAAGCAGCTTACATTTCTCAGTTTCAGTTGAAGCTGAAATTAATCTCAACTACCTTTCTTCTAAATTCTTTAGATCAGCTGGAAAGATACCCAAGTTCAGTAAAAAACAAACATTTTTTTTTTGAAGCCCTGAGTTCTTTGGCAGTTGAGTTGTCTTTCGCTGTTGGTATATCAATGCAGTACCCCACAAATATGTACAATCAGTTGTTTCAATAAAAAAATCATCATCATCATCTTTCTTTAACACATCAAGTGTATGATCTTATTTAATCCCACCCAGTGTATTTTTTATTACAAATACTGTATTTCTCAACTCTAGAAGTTAAATAAATAAATATATATACATAATGGTGCAATAGACAGAAGCTCAGGGTTGTTAATGAACTCAGCCCACTGGGAATTTGAGTAACTGAGAAATTGTAAAGACAGAACAAGCTACCAACTAAAGTTCATGTAAGTGGTAAAAATTACTTCCTAAAATGGAGAAAGTTAAGTGTTCAATTTGGCAGTTCTTTCTCACTTAAAAAGCAGCCATCTCAGAATTGTACAAACTCTCTTCTTATTTTATTTAAAATACACATACGCATAAACACACACACATACATACATGTATGAGGGAAAAGAGCTAGTTGTGTGTAGATGGAAAAGTAGGATACCGTCATCTGAATATCACAGTTTAAAATTTAAAATTAAACTATAATTTATTTTATTTATTTATTTATTTTTGAGATCGGCCGCACCGCGCTCAGCCAGTGAGCGCACTGGCCATCCCTATATAGGATCCGAACCCGCGGCGGGAGCGAGTGCGCCACGGGCTTGGCCCAAATTAAGCTATAATTTAAAGAGGGAAATCCTGAAGGTAAAATAGGCTACTGATGATTTTATTTTTAAACTATAGAATTAAAACTGTATTATATTTCTCCTAAAATAAAGTTTTTACTGTACCCTTTGAAAGAAGTTAGTTGCTAGTTTAGGCTTTACAACTTTTCAAAAGTTTATGAAGTAAGCCTTATTTAGAAAGTATGTTTTGTTTCTTTGTGAGCTACTAAGTTTTCTCTTTCAAATTTTCTGTTTTTCAGGGAAGCACACAACCATTATTATCTCATGTTGCGCTAGCAGTTGCAAGTAAACTCACTTCTGCTTTATTTAATGCTGCCAGGTAATTACATAACAGTTAGATTAAAAATTATCTAATTTGTATCTAGCTTGGTGTTAACTTACATTTTGATAGTCTGCGTTGTAAAACTCTGGAAGCTCTAGTTTTGTTCTAAATTTTCTTTGTTTTTAGTGGTTGGCTTGGCTGGAAAAGTAAACATGAAGAAGAAGCTGTCCAAAAGCAAAAGCCAAAGGTTGAACCAGCTACCCCATTAGCTGTCAGGCAAGTCTGTCATGTGTCCCAAATTTTAGTGCTTTTAGAAATGTATTGTTAAACTTACAGTCTTTCAGTGCCCTTGCTTAGTGGATTTGCTGATCTCATTAAGTCTTTGGAACTTCTGACAGTCATTAAATGTGGGATTTTTTTTCCTCACTAGAATGTAAATTCCATGAGAAGAATCTTTGTTACCTATTTTGTTCACAGCTGTCTCTCTGTCATCTCAAAATGTATTTGTTGAGTGTGCTGTTTAACGGGCATCTATAAACTTAGCTTAAGTTGCAGGAGAATTAGTTTAATGATAGCTGAAAGAATTCTTTTTTTTTTTTTTTTTGGTCCTTTTTGTGACCGGCTGCACCGCACTCAGCCAGTGAGCACACCAGCCATCCCTATATAGGATCCGAACCCGCAGTGGGAGCGCTGCTGCGTTCCCAGCGCCGCACCTTCCCGAGTGTGCCACGGGCTCGGCCCAAATTCTTTAAAAAGTTTAGTTGTCACTAAGCTGTATAAACTTAAAAAGTACTTAGTGATTTCTTTAAAAAATTAAAACCGTAATCATGTGTATTCAAGTGCTCTTCCAAATACTGGCTCGTGCTCCCTTGTTTAGTTTAGTAGTGCTTTAGGGTGCATTGGTGCGTTTGTAGCTTTTTGGGAGGAGAACATGATTTTTGCTTGGTTTTGTTTTTAAATTGTTTTTTATTAACTAATATAAAGAATTCCTCCCCTTTTTTTTAGATGTTGTTCACCTAAAGAGAGCCAGCTAATTAACTGTTATTAAAATTTATTGGAGTTTATCTTTTAAGACTTTTTTTTATCTTATTTTAAAATATTATAACATACCACATTTCCTAAATTTACCCAAGAATTAAGAAATTAGCCAAATGGCCCTGTGTGCCTCAAATAGATGTAACAAAGTTTGAACACCTTCTCTCAGGGACTTTTCTCAAAATGAAGCTATCCAGGTCCTTTTCAGCACCTCTTTGTTTTTATTTTAGTCACAGTTCTGATAAGGTCTATTATAGACTACTGGCAATTTAGAGGTAACTATTTAGAAAAAGGAAAATTCTTGCTTCAGGCAGATAAATTGGTGTCAGTAAGATAAGATATCTAGCAAAAAAGAGAACAGATCAGGAACAAGAACTTAAAATTGACAAAACATGCCTGTGTAGATGTGAAGTATTCTAAAATAAGGTTGTAGATACATATGTAGGGAACCTACGTAGGACTGTGTTTTAATTTTATTTCTTTTACGTATTTATATTGCAGATGTCAGGTATGATTAATAAATTATTAATCCACACAAGATTCATATTTCTTTATGTAAAACAGATTCCACCTATTTTGTTTATGCATTTTATTATTCCATTATGTTTCTAGATTGGAGTGTGATTTGAACTTTTTATTTTCTTTTAAATATCAGATTTGGACTTCCAGATTCTAGACGCCATGGTGAAAGCATATGTCTATCTCCATGTAACACACTGGCAGCTGTAACAGATGACTTTGGCAGAGTTATTTTATTGGATGTAACTAGAGGAATTGCCATACGCATGTGGAAAGGTACTTTCTTACAAAAAAATCCAGAAAAAAAGTTAACTCACTTTTTTACTCAATAGTTAGGCAGTGTTTTCATAGCATCCTTCAGCTTCTGGTTGATGACACAGTTTTTTTTTTTAAACATGAATTCAGTCAGCCACACTTGATCGAGTAGTCAATTAGTATATCCTTTAAGTCTGATTACCTCATAGGCACTTTTGATCTGTGCGTTATGCCCTTTCTTTCAATTCTCACTATCACTGACAATTTGAACTCACAGTTTCTTATCCCTGCTATTCATTCCCCTTCACAAGGCCACTCTTGAGCCAAATCTTCTCCCCAAATCTACAATGCCAAGTCTTTCTGATTTAATACAGCAAAACCTAGCACAATCCATATTCACTGACTTGATTTTTGTATCCATATGCTTGGGTCAATCCACTTGATTTATGAGTAGCTGTGTTAGTTAGGAGTTTTATGCAGCTGCTAATAACAAACCCAGGTATAGCATTGACATGCTATTACCACAGTATGCTCAGGAACCCATTCTGCTTCCATGTAGCTTCCCCATTCTCATAGGCAAAGAGAAGAAGGGAAGACAGGCACTCCTGCCCACTGAGCCAGTCTGCTTTGAAGACATTCCCTGAAGCCCCTCCATCTTTTATCTACAAAACATTAACCAGGACTTAGTGACATGGTCACACCTAACTATAAGGGAGACTTGAAAATATCTTTTAACTGGGCACATTGTCCCTAAGGCAGAAGGGGAGAATGCATTGTTGAGTCATCAGGAATAGTAACATGACAGCATAGACCACTGGTTGGAAACCACAATTATGTCACAATCTTGTCTGCACTATACAATGTGAGAATTAATGGATTTGAGGACATTAAATTACTCTGAACCAGATTATGGCCACTATCACCTTCTTGCCAGAGAACTCCCACAGTGACAGGCAAACGCAATCTTTACCTGCCACACGTTCAAGTGTCTGTAGAAATAAGTTTCAGTGCTGCAAATACATCTTCTAAACAACATCAAATGTGTGTTCTCAGCGAAACTTTTCCAAAATACAGAAGACATAGCATACTGACTGGCCCAAATGTGCTGTGGCGATCTTACTGCTTGCATTGTTGGCTGACTTTCTGCAGCTGGTGCAGTTTTCCTTTGCACTGTGTGCTGCAGGGGGAGGGGTCAGTTGCCTATGGGAGGGACCACCCTAAAAATGTGAGATAGCATGGACTGCTGCCTACTCACATCATTCTACAGCACAGGTCTTCCCTGTATCTGCATACCACCGAGGGGCTTATGTAGCAGGAAGTCAGTTTGATCTTTTTCCTGTATTTTAATTGGGCTTTTATTTTATATCTAAACCTGATCGTCTCCCCAGAATTTTTTTGAAAGGAGGGAGGGAATCATTTAAAGAGAGGGAGGGAAGGGTATGGGAACAGGGAGGGATATTTAGGAGGCTTTAATGATGTCTATAATTTATTTGTAAAGAAAAATAGTGATATGAGGCAAATATAGCAAAATATTAAGATCTGATAAGGCTTGTTGATAGATCAAGTATCTACTATAGTTATTATCTTTCTGTTGAAGATATTTCATAATAAAAAGATAATGCACTTTTATAGCTTTTCTAGTCCCTCTCCCCCAATATTCCAGACTGTTTCAGGAGATTAATTAACTAATTAGCTTCCCTTTTCCTCTGTTTTCAAGGGTACCGAGATGCACAAATTGGATGGATTCAAATTGTAGAGGACCTCCATGAAAGAGTATCAGAAAAGGTGGATTTTTCCCCGTTTGGAAATACTCAAGGTCCAAGTCGAGTAGCTCAGTTCCTTGTGATTTATGCGCCAAGAAGGGGAATTTTAGAAGTGTGGAGCACACAGCAGGGACCTAGAGTAGGAGCTTTCAATGTAGGAAAGCACTGCAGGTAAGCTGCAAACCCTGGCATTTTCTAATTACAAAAAATGCAGGAATGCTTTTATTAATGTAAAGCTTTTACTGAACCTACTTACTAGATTACAAGTTGTGTGAGAATTGTAAAGTTCTTTAACATGGTGTTTTCTTGTGAGTGTCTGGTATATAGTTAAGGATTAAGTATTTAGTAACAAAAATGATAGAAAATGCCATGGTATGCTTCTGAATTAAAGTTAACATGGTGCTACCATGTGTCTGTCACTTGTGCTGTGAAGGCGCAAAAAGAACAACCCATTCATGTTCCTCCCGTGGTGACATTAAGTGAGGTGAATGCTTTGTTTGCCATTGAAACACACGCCTGATTGTGTTCATTTAATTTTCTAGAAACTTTTAATAAGGTAGAACTCTGGTAGTCAAGTCCTCCTTTACTTATATTTTTGGTGTCAGTATTTATTTGCCTTATTGATGCTCCTGGAGTGATGATAATGTGGGGCTCCCTAGCTGTAGTGAAAGCACCTTTTGACATTTCTCTTTTTTCTCATATTTTTACTGTGTTGGCATATGATTTCCTTAGGCTACTGTATCCTGGCTATAAAATAATGGGCTTAAATAATGTTACCAGTCAGAGCTGGCAGCCACAGACTTACCAGATCTGTCTTGTTGATCCGATGTCTGGAAGTGTGAAGACAGTGAATGTTCCTTTCCATTTGGCACTGAGGTAAGGCTTGTTGAGTGTCTGCTGACCGATGCTCCTCTATTGACTTGTCCTCGTCACTTAGTTGGTTGTGCTTTGTTCTGTAGGTATCGTTTTGTTGTTTCCTTTATCACTAGACTAATATCTTTAAAGTTGAATAGGAAGTATGTAAAGGAAAAGGAAAGTTGGAGTGTATCAGAATCAGAAGGAAAACAGTTTCACATCCTGTATGAATTTGTTGTATTTACTGTTTTAGTGATAAGAAGAGTGAACGAGCCAAGGACATACACTTAGTGAAGAAACTAGCAGCCTTACTGAAAACAAAATCTCCCTATCTTGGTAAGTGTCCTATAATAAAAACAAAGCACACTGCTCTGTCATTTTTTAAATCAATAAAATATTCTCAGTTGAGCGATCAAAATACTTAAGCGTATTGATAAACTATCTTACCTTCTCAGAATGAGGTGAGATACAGTATTTTTTATTGGAATTACTCTATAAGGATAAAGTGTGCTGTCTAGGGGATATTAAATTAGTAACAGTAAAACATAATGTGAGAACCCAAAATCCTTTAGACTGACTGATAGTACAAATATGTTCATTTTCTTTCAGAGTAATATTTCACTGTAATAAAAATGAACATTTTACTTTGATTAATTTTCTTTTTATAGATTTGGTTGAAACAGAAATAAAGGAATTAATTCTCGATATTAAGTACCCTGCCACCAAAAAACAAGTAAGTGTACATAAAGTATGAAATTTCCTGCTGAGTAGCTATTATATGTCCCTCTTAAGAAAATTGCTATTTTCCTGTCTCCCTTGGAACATGACCAACTAACATCCTTTCATGTTTTTATTCATACTCTCCTCTTCGTATTCCCATGTGGAGGTTCCTGTTGTCTCTCTCTTTTTTTAAAATTAAGTAGCATTTCCAGACTTGTGTATATTTCTTATTATTTCACAGCTACGTACATACATGGAAAACTGAGTAAATAGTGATTTCTGTTGCAGTCATTTTTTTAAACACTTATTGATTTATTGTAGAGCAGGCATGTCTGTGGCTTTTAACTGTGTTTTTCATTCCACTGACAGTGCTCATTGTCTCTTATTTTCCTCATGGCAAAGTCTCTGATACTTTGATGACAAGGTGGGCAGGCATCTAGAGAGGCAGTTTAGGAAATTTGTAGTAGAGAGGGTCCTAACCCCAACATTTCTCGTTTTGATGCCATCTTTCTTGTTATCTTATATCATGGGACAACAAAATTGGGTAACTTTAGCATAGTGTGTAGTGGGTTTTTTTTGTTGTTTGGGGGGTTTTTTTTTTTTACTATAATACTGAATCATGTACGAAGCTGTACATTACATAAAAAAAATACTGGAAAACCCAGTAGTGAAAGTTGTCTGCTATTTTATGACACTATAGCGGAAGGAAAGAATCCAGTTTAGGTTTGAGAGACTGGATAATAGGGGAATAAATAATAGGAGACTGAATAATAGGAAAGTAGAGCAGATGCTAGCTACCTTGTGTAATTGTAGGCAGGAGAGAGGTAGATTATACTTCTCCTGGGTTTTTGCCTCTTTTAGTCACTTTATTTATATCCTCCAGGTAGTCGTCTCATCATAGGCCTGACCAACATCTTGAGTCACTCTCTAAGTCCCCCCGCCACACAGAGGTCATTGTGTTACGATCTGATACATGTCTCATGCCGCGTCGTCAGCCTACCTTTTAAACTATTTAATTTCATGAATTAAAATCCAATTTAATATGCTAATATGAAAGGATAAACATGAGTTTGGGCTGCTGTTTAACCAGTTGATGATTTTGGTGGTTGCCACTTTAGTCATGAAGAAATATTTTGGAACTGGTGATGAAGACTATTAAAAAGTCTGTAGGGGTGGAGGATGGGGAGAAGTAGGTAAGTCAGGGTGGGGAGTATATATATCTAGCGTGGCCTGTAGATTCAGCCAGCGACGTCCAGTTACAGTTATTAAGCTATAACTAAGTTGTCATCTTTTATATTGACATGACAGTAACCTCTGCTTTTCATTTATGCCTAGATATTATAGGCTTTTTCAGCTTCTTATTATTGGTGAATAGCTTTATGTCTGTTTCTGTTTTGTCTTAGCCGTTCTGTTAAATACTGGTTGCCTTCTAGTTTTCTTCTTAGTCTGGACTTTTTGTCATTCTACCATGTTTGGCATGACATGAAGTTGATTGCATATTACTTATAATGCATCTTCAATTTTTAGGTGTATATTAAAACATCTTAAATGTGGAGCTTCCCTTTGAAATTTGGTGTAGAGAAAGTATTGGCATAAATATAAAATGTAAAAAGCAAAATCATTGCCTTATAATTACTAGCATTGCTCTTTATCTTTCTTCTAGGCTTTGGAAAGCATTTTGGCAAGTGAACGTTTGCCGTTTTCCTGCCTTAGAAACGTCACTCAGACATTAGTGGACACTTTAAAAAATCAAGGTAATAGAATTTGTAGTGATTGGAGGTTATGGTCTCACTTCAAACTTTGCTTATAAAAAGTTGTGAATTGCTATGATACCATCATGGTACCTTAATGTGAAAATAATATATATAAGAAATAAGGAAACTTATTTCATGCCTTTAATATTTGGGTACCTTTGTTATTCCCTGTTTAACACATGCAGTTGATGTTTATCTGAATATATTGACTCTCGTTTCTTATTAGAAATACTTTTCTTTTGAATCCCTCTGCTGTGAGAAAAGATATCAGTGTGGAATAATGAGAAGTGTTTATTCTGATATAGTTGTAGAACATTGTGAAAGCCATTGGCATGAGGGTAAATTAGCTGGTGGCATACAGAAATCAACCAGAATCCCTTGCTGCCATTGTCTTTTAATTTTGGGAGAGGAGAGAGATTTCTACAGGGAGGCATTTTTAGGAAATGTCACTTAGACCAAGATAATGATAAAAAATGCTTATGCTTTGGATTAAAGTTCCATTAGTGTATAGCATCTACATTTTCTCATCCATTTCCCTCACAGAGTTAGGACTTCCAAAATCATACACTATAATTAGATTATTAGTTCTGAGTTTCTGGGGGTTTTTTTCCTATTCGAAATTTGTCTGAAAAATAATTCCATTTGAAACTATAGGGTTGTAATCCATGCTCTATCCAGCTGAGCTAGAAAGATTCAATTTATTCAGAATTACTAACATCAATTAAATTGAAGTGTGCAGTGTACTGATTTCATCTAGTCATGACTTTTTGCTGGTCATGTTAATTATGTAAAACCAGCTTTATATTTAATTATGCTTAAGTCGGGTTAAAGTGGTTTAGTAAACAAATCATATGTTCTTTCAGGACTTCAAGCATCCTAACTTTGAGACTCTTTTTCCATTATTGATTTTGTGTGTGTTCTTAAATTTTTTAATTTCTCATATTTTAAAAAATTTATTTTTGGGCCGGCCCGGTGGCGCACTGCTACAGTGCGCCGCTTGGGAGTGCAGCGGCGCTTCCGCCGAGGGTTCGGATCCCACATACAGACCGGTTCCCGCTCACTGGCTGAGCGAGGTGCGGGTGCAGCACCGAGGGTTGCGATCCCGTTGCCGGTCTCGGTCCGGTATGGGCGCGACACTGAGGGTTG